GATCACACCTGTAGTCCCAGGATCTGGGAAGGCTGAGGTGGTAAGATCGCACTCCAACCTTGGTGACAGAGCAAGAGCCTGCCTCGGGAAAAAAAAAAAAAAATTTACATATCTGAAAAACACAGATGTCAATGCTGTAGGGCACAGAAGTTGGGAGACCATAAGGGTCGCAGCCTGAACTATAACAAAAAAGAGGTTAACAGCCAGGGCAGGTGGCTCACGCCTGTAATCCCAGCACTTTGGGAGGCCGAGGCGAGCGGATAACGAGGTCAGGAGATCGTGACCATCCTGCCTAACACGATGGGACCCCGTCTCTACCAAAATTCCAAAAAAAGTAGCCAGGCCTGTTGGCAGACCCCTGTAGTCCCAGCTACTTGGGAAGCTGAGGCAGGAGAAAGGCGCGAACCTGGGAGGCGGAGCTTGCAGGGAGCCGAGATCGTGCCACTGCACTCCAGCCTGGGCGACAGAGCGAGACTCCGTCTAAAAAAAAAAAAAAAAAAAGGTTGACAAATGTAAAGCATAACAAATGAATCTAATAAAAGTTTTACCTGACACTAGAGACTTCAGAAATGAAGTTCCAAAGATCCAGGGAAAACTGTCTATTTTCATATGTACCTCCAATGAAGAATAGACAGACATTTAGAAATGTGTTTAGACAAAGACAGTATTGAAGAAACTTAGCAAACCTTGTCCAGATTCTTCTTGGCCTCTCTGTATATCATTCCGTCCTCCTAGATATGGCAGGACCCCTTTGGAATGAGTCTTCAAGGGAGAAGGGAGGGTAACTTTCTAGGTTTTAAGGCTTGCTTTGAGGGAGAGGAGTTGTAGTTTCTGTGACTTACTTTGGGGAAGAGACCTTCTGGTTTGTATGACTCTCTTCCAGGGGAGAACAGGAGGAGGTCGGAAAGACTTTGCTTCTGAGGGTCCTCTAATCTCCTTTAGTTCAAAGTACTCAGCATGCCAAGATGTCATACTTTCAGGAATTATGTTCTGAGCCCCAACAATGTAAATATTCTCAGGGCAATGCACTTATTTATTTATTTATTTATTTATTTATTTATTTGTATTTATTTACTTTATTTTTTTGAGATGGAGTCTTGCTCTGTCGCCCAGGCTGGAGTGCAGTGGTGTGATCCCGGCTCACTGCAACCTCCACCTCCCGGGTTCAAGCAATTCTCCTGCCTCAGCCTCCTGAGAAGCTATAGCATGTCAATATGCCATACTTTGGGGAATTATGTTCTGAGCCCCAACAATGTAAGTATTCCCAGGGCAAAGCATTTTTGTATTTATATTTATTTATTTAGAGACAGAGTATCGCTTTGTTGCCCAGGCTGGAGTCCAGTGGTGTGATCTCGGCTAACTGCAACCTTCGCTTCTCAGGTTCAAGCAATTCTGCCTCAGCCTCCTGAGTAGCTGGGATTACACGCGTGCGCCACTATGCCCAGATAATTTTTGTGTGTTTTTTTTTTTTCTTTTTTTTTTTTTTTTTTTTTTTGAGACGGAGTCTGGCTTTGTTGCCCAGGCTGGAGTGCAGTGGCGCCATCTTGGCTCCCTGCAAGCGCCGCCTCCTGGGTTCAGGCCATTCTCCTGCCTCAGCCTCCCCTGGGACTACAGGCACCCGCCGTCATGCCCAGCTAATTTTTTGTATTTTTGGTAGAGACGAGGTTTCACCATGTTAGCCAGGATGGTCTCAATCTCCTGACCTCGTGATCCGCCCACCTCGGCCTCCCAAAGTTCTGGGATTACAGGCGTGAGCCACCGCTCCCAGCCGCTTCGTGTGTATTTTTAATAAAGACAGGGTTTCACCAGGTTGACCAGGCTGGTCAGGAACTCCTGACTTCAGGTGATCCAACAGCCTCAGCCTCCCCAATTGCTGGCATTACAAGAGTGAGCCACCGTGCCCAGCCCAAGGGCAAAATATTTTCAAGGCAATCAGTAAACCGGAGATCTTTCATAGGATTGTGAAAGGAAAATAAATCTCAGGACCCCAAAACCACTAAGCCAAGGGAAAAGTCAAGCTGGGAACTATGTCAGGCAAACATGTCTTCCATTTTATTCCTAAATAAGATAGCTATAATAAAAAGCTACATACCTCCCTTACAATTTTCCCATAAGGAAATTCCTTGTGGACAAAGGATAAAGAGAACTCAAAGTCATCCTTCTGAGGCTCACCTGAGACACATGTGTATCTGATTGCGTCCTCTGCCCTATTATTTATGTAAAAATGCAGATTCACTGAGCCAGACTAAATTGTGTATTCAATGGGAGGCTGATCAATGACTCAAAAGAATGCAGTCTTTTGTCTCGAATCTACTTCTAACCTGGAAGCCCCCACTTCGAGTTGTCCTACCTTACTGAACCGAACCAATGTACATCTTACACATGTTGATTGATATCTTTTGTCTCCCTAAACTGTATAAAAGCAAGCTATACCCCAACTACCTTGGGCACATGTTATCAGGACCTCCTAAGGCTGTATCACAGACCCATCCTTAATCTTGGCAAAACAAACTTTCTAAATTGATTGACACCTGCCTCAGATACCTTTTGGTTTACAGGATGTTATATAGACAACCAGAATATTCCTCCCCCAAAATATACCACTTGGCTATAAGGATTATTTTGAGAAACAGCTGACACAGAAAAAGCACTGAAAACGGTAAAAGTTTCTCTTTCATGAAGCAACAAAAACAAACACAAACTCCTTTCATGTGTAAAAGACATTTCCCTTGGTAAAGATGTCCTCCTTGGTTATATCAGAAGAGGAGAATGGCCCTCAGAGACAATTCTTACCACCTGAGATGACTTGAACCTGCATACAAGACTTTATCAGATAATCCTTGTCTTCCATTAGTTTACTCCCTATATTTTCCTTTCCACAGTTTACTCCCCTAGGAAACCACCACCTCTTTAAAATGGTATACAAACTCCCGGGTCTGTCTGCCTCCATGGGCTTTTATTCCCTTTCTGTGAATGCTCACATATGCATATATACAGCAATAAATCTTTTTCCCTGTTAATCTGTCTTTTGTCAATTTAATTTGTAGGGCCCAACTACAAAGCCTAACAGAGTAAAATAAAAGTTTCTTATTCTACAGTTTCCTTCACCAGATAAAGGAGCACTTATAAGGGTTTTCAGTGCTTCTAGATTTCATCTTGAAAAAATTAATTATAAAATAACATATTCAGTACCTTGTTTTATGGTCCAAAATGCTGCCTAGTTTTTCTGTAGTTGGAAAAGAGGATTGCTGAGATTAATGCGCCACATGAGATACAGGGTTTAAACCTTCAAGTTTAAGCACTTAGGTTCCATTGTTAAAAGAGAGGGAAAAAGGCCCGGCATGGTGGCTCATGCCTGTAATCCCAGCACTTTGGGAGGCCGAGGTGGGCGGATCACCTGAGGTCAGGAGTTTGAGACCAGCCTGGCCAACACGGCGAAACTCCGCCTGTACTAAAAATACAAAAATTAGCTGAACGTGGTGGCGGGTGCCTTTAATCCCAGCTACTTAGGAGGCTAAGGCTGAAGAATCGCTTGAACCCGGGAGGCAGAGATTGCAGTGTGCAGAGAACGCGCCATTGCACTCCAGCCTGGGGGGACAAGAGCAAAACTCTGTTAAAAAAAAAAAAAAAAAGGCGGGGGGGGGGGGGTGGTGGGGAAGAGGCCAGCCTAGCTCAGCGAGAAATTGATTAACTGATACAACATAAGTATGTAATTTTTGCACATACAGTAATCACAGAATAGTTCATAATATACTTGGAGAGACTGACTTTTAGAATAAAATTACATGTTTGTTAAAGGCATAAATAATCTAACACTTTTGAAATATAAAAGGTAAACATTACTGAGAAACGGAATCTGATAGCTGGAAGGCAGGGCAAGGCAGGGCCAGCCTAGGTCAGGAAGGTCACCCAACATGAAACTGTTTTTTTGTTTTGTTTTGCTTTTTGTTTTTTTGAGATGGACTCTCACTCTGTCGCCCAGGCTGGAGTGCATGGAGTGCAGTAGTGAGGTCTTGGCTCACTGCAACCTCCGCCTCCCGGGTTCAAGCGATTCTCCTGCCTCAACCTCCCGAGTAGGTGGGGTTACGGGCGCCCTCCACCACGCCTGGCCAATTTTCTTTATTTTTAGTAAAAAAGGGGTTTCGCCATCTCAGCCAGGCTGGTCTCGAAGTCCTGACTTCGTGGTCCATCTGCATCGGCCTCCCTAAGGGCTGGGATTACAGGCGTAAGCCACAGAGTCCAGCCATTTGAAACTCTTTTTCTTGGGATAAAGTCATCCTTGGTCTTTCCCTCCTGCATTTTATTTGTAAATGTAAAAGACAGGGTTTCCGGGCACAGCTGATTTCCTAGTTCAACAGAAAAGAGGAACAGGAGGGAGCTCAAGCGGCATCTTCACCACTCAAAGGAACTAGAGGGTAAAAGCCACCTTTCTTTCTCAAACAGCTTCCTGAAATGTTTCTAGGTGGAATGAGGGAAAAAAAAATAGGAAATCAGTTCTTGCCCCAAAAATGTGGTCGGCGAGGGAGGTAAACGAACAGAAAGGACAGCTACAGAAAGAATAAAAGGTAAGGAAAAGAATAGAGAACCAAATTTGGGAAAGGTGAGGAATCCCACCTTGGAGCTATCATCAGGTGTAGTCTTTTGCAGTCAGCCACTCCACAGGCTGATCACTTCGAGATTGTACGGAAGCAGTTTCTACACACGATTTCACAACTGCCCGAAACGACTGTGATTACCCCTCTAGAGATGGCGCCACTTGATTCCAGCAGCCACAAAGCACTAGAGCAATCGATGCTAAGAGGTGACAGGAAAAATAGGCTGCAACGATCCAGCCAAAGGAATGCCGTTGCAGCGGCGGTCAACCTAAAACACTGTGGAAGGGCAAGATGAGCTGAGTAACTTTTAATTGGGCATCATTTTCAGAATCTGGAGTTTAAGCACCGCCCTTTCCATTTTTTTCCTGAAGTCGTTGGCAGGGCGCAAGGTCTGCGATTGACTGACCGGATGCAGCTGGTGTGGACAGTTCTCAATCAGGTCCGATTTATCACTATATGTATAAGTACTGCTGCGAGACTCGCTGTGTTGCATTTTACTTAGTACAAGATATGTCTGGGCGCGGCAAAGGTGGGAAGGGTCTGGGCAAAGGAGGCGCTAAGCGCCACCGCAAAGTCCTGCGCGACAATATTCAGGGCATCACCAAGCCAGCCATCCGACGCCTGGCACGGCGTGGAGGCGTTAAACGCATCTCAGGCCTTATATACGAGGAGACGCGCGGAGTTCTTAAGGTGTTTTTGGAGAATGTGATCCGCGATGCAGTTACCTACACGGAACATGCCAAACGCAAGACAGTCACGGCCATGGACGTGGTTTACGCGCTCAAGCGCCAGGGTCGCACCCTCTATGGCTTTGGCGGCTGAGTGTTTTCCTTACTTATCCCATTCCTCAAAAGCCCTTCTCAGGGCCACCCATGAAATCTGTGAAAGAGCTGTAGACTAGAGCCTTAATTTCCTAAGAACATCTAAACGTATGGCAGTTTTGGCAAATTAGCGATTCTACATAAGCAGTCTCTAAGGTTTATTGCGGTTCGGTGCCCCTTTCAGCATTACTTAGTGGTTAAAAGTGTCGTATTCTCTGATAGACGGCCAAATTTATAACGCCTCCGGTTTTTGCAAGTCACAGTGGAACATCCGGTCTCATTTACCTTGTGTCGATTACTTTCCCGCTATGAATGCAAGGGCTGTGTAACTATGACACTGGTCCGCAACGCTCAAAATGCCTCAATATCGCCCTTTACAGAAAAAGTCGGCCAACTTCTAAAACATTCTTAAGTACGTTTAAATTTGAGAAATACTGGCATACCTACAACGCTCGAGTTTCATGTCCCCTTCAATGCCTCCACTTAAAAATTTACTCTAGTTTCACTTTTCCTTCACGTTCCTTAACTTTTTGTCAAACCAATAATGACACCACATAATTCAAATAGTGCAAGGCAAGTTTAGATTTTTCAAGCTTACATTTAAACAGGATTTTGATGCACGAAAATTCCTAGAGTTTAGGGGGATTTTTTGTTTCCGTTTTTGTTTTTCTTTAGCTATCAAAACCATTTTACGTTTCTTGACCCAAAGCTGAGGCGGAATGTCTCCCTTTCACTGGCAGATTAAACTGGGAGCCAATTCCGTGTGTGAGACGTGGCATGCCACAGTCTACTGTCCAATCAGAACGCGAGGGCAGCTATAAATACAGGGATGATCAGTTTTTTTTCTCTCATTTGTGTTGAGTAGTTAGGCCTACTTAGCAATGGCACGGACAAAGCAGACAGCTCGCAAGTCCACCGGCGGCAAAGCGCCGCGTAAGCAGCTGGCCACCAAGGCGGCTCGCAAGAGTGCTCCGGCCACCGGTGGAGTCAAGAAGCCCCACCGCTACCGCCCCGGCACCGTGGCTCTGCGCGAGATCCGCCGCTACCAGAAGTCCACTGAGCTGCTAATCCGGAAGCTACCTTTTCAGCGCTTGGTACGGGAGATCGCACAGGACTTTAAGACCGACCTGCGCTTCCAGAGCTCGGCGGTGATGGCGCTGCAAGAGGCTTGCGAGGCCTACCTGGTGGGGCTATTTGAGGACACCAACCTGTGCGCCATTCACGCCAAGCGCGTCACTATTATGCCCAAAGACATCCAGCTTGCGCGCCGCATCCGAGGGGAGAGGGCATAAATGTTTTTCTATCATCCCAAAAAGTCTGTCCAACCCCAAAAGGCTCTTTTCAGAGCCCCTCAATTGTCACCGAAAGGAAGCTGTAGATTTTGAGACGTATCTTAAATCGATGTTAGTTACAAGTTGTGGACAAAATGTAGTCGTGGCTCAACGCACTGTAATGCAGGAGTTAGGTCACAGGCTGTTGGTATGCTAAATCAATTCCACATACAGAACCTGCTCCTACCGATAAGGATTACCATTCAAAAAAGACATGTCATAGGGACAATTGTGCAGATGAAGTTTAACTTTTGAAAAGTATTCCTGTTCTTTGAGGAATGTGTTTCCTGCTTGTCTATCTGCCCCTAAGGAAGGGAACGAGTAATATAGTGAGTGTACACAGGCTCTTGTGAGGCCGAGGCGGCCAGATCACAAGGTTAGTACATCGAGACTATCCTGGCTAACACGATGAAACCGTCTACTGAAAAAAAAAATTGCCGGGAGGGTGGCACGCGCCTGTAGTCCCTGCTACTCCGGAGGCTGAGGCAGGAGCATTGCTTGAACCTGGGAGGCGGAGGTTGCAGTGAGCCGAGATCGCGCCATTATCCTCCAGCCTGGGCTACAGAGCCAGACTCCCTCTCAAAAAAAAAAAAAAAAAAACCAAAAACCAAAAATCAGGCTCTAAAAACTGTACACATGAGAGTGGAACAATAGACAATCAGGACTCAGAAGGGACGAAAGAATGAATGATAGGTTACTTAATTGGTACAACGTAAGCTATTTAGCTCTCCTATACCCCATGTAACTTGACCACCATGGAGCATATGCATGTAACAAAGTTGCCATTTGTACCCCACGCAAGTAACAGTTTTGACCAAAAGCTCAACACTTTTGTTCTGTTTCAATGTAATGTTTAGCAAGCCATGTGTTAGGTAGTGGGCCTCTGAAGAGGGATACTTTAACCTACCGCATGCTGTCATCTGTGAAATGAACTTCTAGCTCTGTAAGTGGACCTTAAAAAGTATTTTCCTGTCATTTCACAATATGTTTGTCATAGATTGTGGAGTTGGATTTTCATGAGGTGTTTTTTTTGTTGTTGTTTTTTGTTTTGTTTTGTTTGGTTTGGTTTGGTTTGGTTTTTTCGAGATAATCAGTCTGAGTATTCAACTTCAAGTGGTATTTAAAGCTCTTCCTGGTTTCTAACCAAACTTGTCCAGTATTTTCAGCTGTTTAGAGTTTGGCAGAGATGTGAAGGCAGTTGTTCTCCCGAGTGCTCTCAGCCAGCTCAGCCATGTATCTGTGCCTTCCCTTCTTTCTCATATTGGATTCACTCTTGCAAAGAGGCATGCAGTGGTGTCCAGCCCTTTGGCTTCCCTGGGCCACATTGGAAGCAGAAGAGTTGTGTTGGGTCACACATAAAATACAGGATCACTAAGGATAATTGATGAAAGAAAAGAAAAGGAAGGAAGGAAGGAAGGAAGGAAGGAAGGAAGGAAGGAAGGAGGGAGGTGGGTGAATCTCGAGGTCAGACCAGCCTGGCCAACATGGTGAAACCCCGTCTCTACTAAAAATACAAAAAATTAGCTGGGCATAGTGGTGGGCGCCTGTAATCACGGCTCCTTGGGAGGCTGAGGCAGGAGAATCGCTTGAACCCAAGATCGCACCATTGCACTCCAGCCTGGGCTACAGAGCTAGACTCCATCTCAAAAATATCCCAGCTCCTCGGGAGGCTGAGGTTGCAGTGAGCCGAGATCAGGCCACTGTACGCCAGCCTGGGTGACAGAGTGAGACCCCATCTCAAAATAAATAAACAAACAAACAAATAAATAAATAAATAAATAAAAGGAAGGAAGGGAAAGAAAGAAGAAAAGGTCTGTGCATAATTTTTGTGATATCCATCACCACAGATGAGCAAAAAAGTCCTCACATTTAAAGGGTTGGATATGCATATACAGTTTTCAGAAACTTAAGATTTGATTCAGAAAAACAACAACAACAACAACAACAAACCACTTTTGATCCATGGGGCCAGAAGCCTCTTCCCACAATTAACTTAGAGCTCTTTTAGTGGCTGTCTGCTAGGTGTAGGAACAACTTGACACTGCCTCTTCCAAGCTTCAAAGATAGTTCTCTTCTCACCTCTTCAAGGATTTTCCCTCCATAATGGAGCTGAGGCCATGTTTCTAGGTTTAAAATTTAGAGCTGCCACTTTATAGCTGTATAACCTTTGGCAAGTTATTCATTCTCTGTCTAGGCCTCATGCTGTATAGCTGTAAATGTGGCAAATTAATAGAAACCTGTAGAACATATTTAAGATTACTTCCTGGCAGGTAGTAAATGTTGAATGAGTGTCAGCCCTTATTGTTACACCCCTGCTCCCACTACGCATGGAGTTTTGGGGTTTTTTTCTCCTGGACCTTCTAAGTTTTGTGTTTGGAACAGCAGAAAGTGCTTGGTTTGAACATTTTCTTGTGAAGATCTCCTTTTCTTTAGTTCTCAATTTGCATTGTTTGGTAAGAGGCCTATACAATATCTGTGTCTCTGTGGATAAATTTATAACACAGCAAAACGGCTAGATAATAAATAGTTTGGAGTTTAAAGGCCATATATAGTCTCTGTCACACATTCTTTTTAGTTTTTAGTTTGTTTGCTTGTTCGAGACAGCATCTTTCTCCATCGCCCAGGCTGGAGTGCAGTGGTGCTCACCGCTCACTGCAGCCTTGACACCCTGAATTCAAGTGATCCTCCCACCTCAGTCTCCCAAGTAGCTGAGACTACAGGCATGCACCACCACACCCAGCAATATTTTTTGTATTTTTAGTAGAGATAAGGTTTCACCACGTTGCCCAGGCTGGTCTTGAACTCCTGAAATCAAGCAACCCTCCTATCCCGGTCTTCCCCAGTGCTGAGATTACGGACATGAACCACCATGCCCAGCCTTTGTTTTTGTTTTTGTTTTAAACAATATTGTTAAAACGTAAAGGCACTTCTTAGCTTGAGGGCCATACAGAAACAAGCCATTGTCCAGATTTGGCCATAGTCTGCCAACCTCTCCAGGAGTTCTTAGAGAGAAGATGAAATGTGTTGGCTACTTTAAATTTTCTTGCACAGCATTTCAAGGGTGAGAAATAAGTGACTGGTGATTTCATTAGGAATCCAAATCATTATTTGATCATTTTTATCATCCAGGCATCCTGTCCAATCCCCTCCACATCTTATAAATTGTAAACTTCACCATTTATTTCAACCTCAGTGTATTTGCCTGTGTTTTCCTGAGTTCCTCTGAACGTCTATAACCTGAAGTCGCTCAATATCCAATCCAACCTTTTCAGTCAATAGCCAGATATTCTTCTAAAATATTACCATTTAAACACACAAAAATACCCATATTGATGTATCCTGGCTGCTTATAGAAGAGAGTACTCCTGATGGTGCAGCTTGTTAAATGTGGGTGGAGATTCAGGGGGAGCAGTAAGAACATTTTGAAAACCTAACAGAATCCTGGGTCCCCTAAACAGTTTGTGTATTTGAGGATGACAGGGTGCTCTTGAATAATTTTCTGCAGGTTTGAATTTTCTCTAAACTGAATTATCTATATTATTTTTCTTCCCCTTTTTAATGGATTTGCCCAGGAACTAAAAAGGGAAAACACTTCAATTAGAAACATAACACATTTAAGTTTGAATTTGAATCTGGGTAGTTGGATTCTTAAGTCAAAGCGACTTGAATTACTGGTGCTGCAATGCAGAAGAAGTCACTCTGACCGTGGAACTTTTCCAAGCTGCAAAATCCCATTCTGTAAAGACATCAGCACATGGAAACTCCTAGGACACAGAACCAGTTTGTAAAGTCAAGTCTGTGTGGTTAAGTTGGGGCTGTAGGCAACCAGCTGTCCCGTGCCTGTGTTACTTGCTACAGTTAGAAACAAAGTTCATGCCCAAACCAAGGAACCCAGTGTCTTTTCTCTTGCAGAAATCAAAGCGTGAACTCATGGGAAAATTTTAAAAAATAACTTTCTCCGGATACTTAATAGAAATTTATCGCGACACGCTACTAACTAACATGATGCCCTCAGCCCATTGGATTCTTGTGAAAAGCAGAAGGGATTTTTAAAAATATCTTTCATCAATTGCACGAGATTCGTGAAAACACAAACAAGTATGTGAACCTGGAGGCTGTTTTCCTCCTTTGGAGCTTCAAAGTGCCAAATTCTGTACCGTTGTTTTAAGCATTTAATCAAATTTTGAGGACTAACAAACACAATTTGGGAGTCCAACGAGGAGCGGCGGCGGCCAGAGGGCGGCGGATTGGACGCTCCACCAATCACAGGGCAGCGCCGGCTTATATAAGCCCGGGGCCCGAGCATAGCAGCAATGCAAAACTTGCTCTTTGGATTTTGAGCTTATTCTCTTCTAGCAGTTTCTTACCACCATGTCGGAAACCGCTCCTGCCGAAACAGCCACCCCAGCGCCTGTGGAGAAATCTCCCGCTAAGAAGAAGGCAACTAAGAAAGCGGCCGGCGCTGGCGCGGCTAAGCGCAAAGCGACTGGACCCCCAGTCTCAGAGCTGATCACCAAGGCTGTGGCTGCTTCTAAGGAGCGTAATGGCCTTTCTTTGGCAGCCCTTAAGAAGGCCTTAGCGGCCGGTGGCTACGACGTGGAGAAGAATAACAGCCGCATCAAGCTGGGCCTCAAGAGCTTGGTGAGCAAGGGCACCCTGGTGCAGACCAAGGGCACTGGTGCTTCTGGCTCCTTTAAACTCAACAAGAAGGCGGCCTCCGGGGAAGCTAAGCCCAAAGCCAAGAAGGCAGGCGCCGCTAAAGCTAAGAAGCCCGCGGGGGCCACGCCTAAGAAGCCCAAGAAGGCTGCAGGGGCGAAAAAGGCAGTGAAGAAGACGCCGAAGAAGGCGAAGAAACCCGCGGCAGCTGGCGTCAAAAAAGTGGCGAAGAGCCCTAAGAAGGCCAAGGCCGCAGCCAAACCGAAAAAGGCAACCAAGAGTCCTGCCAAGCCTAAGGCAGTTAAGCCGAAAGCGGCAAAGCCCAAAGCCGCTAAGCCCAAAGCAGCAAAACCTAAAGCTGCAA